CAACACTGGAGTCCTGGCATACAGCAACCACAGTCAATTCTGACAACAATGCGCAACATTTACCAGAACAGTATAGATTTTGATTAAAAAAGAGCAGATCATAGACATAGTTTTATATTTATAAGTATACTCGTTTCACTTGAGTTTACATATAGGTGGAACTACTCATTGTTTATTGCATTTCATTATAGTTGTAATTGTAATTGTAAACCACTGTCCTTGTAGTTAATCCGTAGAATAATTTATATGATTTAATATCACTTTACCTGTCGAAGACTGCAGACTGGCAGTCGAAAGCTCGTGTTTTAAATAAAAATTTACGATCAGAGAACGTTTCAGAAACTTTATGCCTCAAATGATTATCACATTGTTTTGCATTGTCTGCCATCAATAAATATACTTACAAAAATTTGCCGACCTGGGAGGTTAATGGGTCGGCATTTAGGTCAGCATTGCTGAATGCCGACCTCGTTTTCAAGGGCTGCCACATTTACCCGACCTTGTCCTGGGGTTACGCCCAACCTAGGGTCTTTGACCTCTTGACAGATGCTGGTCACATGATCTGCCAAAATCTAGCAGATTTTTAATTAGCAATCCAAGATGAGGTCAAGATTTAACCCTTTTAGTGGGAATGCACCCCATTGAGCCCTACTTTATTTTACTCTGTCTAACGCCAGATGATTTTACTTTACTTTTACTTTTTCAATGGGTTCATTATAATTTGCATTTTGTATGATTGTCATAAAGGAATCCTTAGAAGATAGTTAATTAGAAATCTGCTAGATTTTAGCAGATCATGTGACCAGCGTCTACCAGGATCTTTCTCCCCAAGAGGAAAGACCCCAACCTTGTTCCCAGGTTGGAAAGACCCTGTGTATGAGGTTGGATTCCCCCCTCGGGCAATTTAGATATTAAAAATTTACACTTGAGATTTCGATCCTACAATAATCCTCCAAGCTTTTACAAACAAAATTAATAAACAAGAAATATTGAAGTCTGATATAATATGTTGGTTCGATTTTATGTATCAAATGTTCACATGATTAAAACTAAAAGTACAGTATAATAGTTTTGTTTGTGGAAACACCATGTAAATTTATTACTGCAATTATTAGCACTGATGAAGCTTACGGATTGAAAGCTTTGCAGTAATAAATTTACGTGGTGTTTCCACAAACAAAACTATTATATTTTATCGCCATGCAAACATACAAAGAACTTATAAAAGTACAGTAGTTGACAGTAATTTTAGAATTACCAGGTCAATTCAAATCATCTATTTTACTCCATAAAAAAAACATCACATTTGTTTTCTCATGTTTTTACCATTAATTAGAATCATAGGATGCCCAATAGTGCCTAATCAGTGATCTCTAAGTAAACTGGAACAATGACACCAGTTATCAAGTCCTACGATTGGTTGAAGCCGAGCACGATAAATTAACTTTCAAAAGGATGTTGTTTTTGAGCGAAAATTAGCAAGAAAAAGTACTTTTTTATCAGAATTTTTCATTTCAAAGATTCAAACGTGGTTTCCTGGATAGTTCTAAGTATCAAAAAGTAAAAATAAAAATAAAATTTTATTAATAAATACATAAACAGTCTGTATATACAAGACTATCTGCTAATAGCAAAGCTAATCGGGGTGGATAGTAGAATGAGATTAAATAAGAATGATAAGATATGCTCGGTTATAATATAAAGTGGCGCAGTATACTGACAGCACAAAGCATCATTTTCACAAAGAAGAATTAATTCCCTATTAATTTCCTATTAATTTCGAAGGAGTACTATTTTCCATGCTTACTCGTATATCTAATTAATGTGGGCACATCAGCATAATCGTCCTCAATCTCAAATATGGTTAAAAGACTTTTCTGAATTTTCAAATTGAAATTTTTTCTACCCAACTCTCGAACATCAGTGGGAATACTATTCCAAATTTTAACACCTGATTTTACAAAGGATGTGATAGTTGTAGTTAGTTTTGAGTATTCAACATAAAAATTATTGGATACACAATGTCTAGTGTTATAAGTATGGACTTCTTTTGATTGGATAAAACAATTGGAGATTGAAGATGTATTCAATAGTATTTTACATCCACTAACAGCAAAAACTTCCTGGGTAACAGTTCCCTATTCAAAATATTACACAAGTTTGAACTACACTGTGTCAGGCAGTCAAGCTTTCTTTAACCTACATATTTTTAATTTGATTTCCTGTACTAATACTTTGATGCATATCATGACCCATGGCTGGAAGGTGTTGAGAGAGATTTGTCCCTAATTTTTGAAAACATGTGTTGATCAGTCCATACAAACTATTTTGATGAGACAAATGGTTTTCAACAATGTTCACAAGGTTTGGAATGGCTTGGGGCAATTTTGGAAAAATTTCCAGTGGTCCCCCAGGCCTTTTATTGATCCTAGGGTTGCCTGTGTTCCCCCTCTTTGCATTTGACCCAAATTTTTCAAAACATGTTTTTACGAGTCGAAAGTGATCGTTTTGATGAGAGAAATGTTTCTCAAGACTTTTCAGAAAGTTTGGTGTGAGTTGGGGGTCTATGAATTTTAAACAAATTTTCTGTGATCGTCCTTTGTTTACCGTAGGGTTGCCTGTGATCTCCTTTGCATTTGACCCAAAGTTTTTGAAACATGTTTTTATAAGTCGAAAGTGATCGTTTTGATGAGAGAAAGAAAGTTTGGCGAGCTGGGGGATCTTTATGAATTTTTTAAAATATTTCCTGTGGTACTCTCATTTTTAATTAAACACAAAAGTGTGAATTTTCTGTTGCATCCTTTATCTGGTATCAGATAGATAATACATGTTGTCAGTTGATATGTGCAAATAACTAGATTAAAATCTCTCATTGTTTAGGTATTTTGTTCCAAGAGAACTTGGATCAGTCATCAGTCATCAATGTCGAACAGGGTTACATGAGAGGAAAAGAAAGATTATTTTATACCAAACAGAATCATTTACAGTCGCTGTCTTGAATTGTGTAAAGAAGGTTAGTTTATAAAAAAAATTTTCAGGCAATGTGGCATGAAAATTATAAATTCTGAATAATATGTTTTATCCCTTGGGGAATTAATCCAATCACAGGAGGCCCAGGCTCGATTTGCCCGCGCCCGCCCGTGCCTTCCTTATAACGAGGGAAGGACGGAGACATTGAGACCAAAATAGCCCAGACTTGGCATATGTCACACAAAACTATCCTCGATTTTTCGCTTTTAATGCATTTCTTTCACGATTAATCGATATCCCCTGCAAGAATGATACCGTATAACTCTCAAA